CTGATGGGCACATTCTCTGTCAGTGCCACCCAGGATGCAGCACTAAAGTACATGATTCCCCCATAACACCCATGCAAGATCCCACATAATTGTGAATGACTGCGAGACCCGTCCCCTACAGACTGACTTCTCTGGCCCCTTGACAAAGATTCTCTCCTTGACTGAACTCTAGTCAGGATCCTCTGAACTCGCTTCTCAACTAGGCTCTGGCTTTTGGGCTTTGTCCAGTTTTAGTAAGAATCCTGCTAGGTCGGTTTAGCAGAATCCCCCAGCCTCCTATCTGATTCGCTCCCTCATCCTCCATCATCCCCCAGGTGATGTCCCATCACCCTGGCTTGTCTTCTGCAAGAATCCTGTTAGGTCAGCTTAGCTGGAATCCCTTTATTTCCATCCACTGACCCCCTACTCTGCCCCTTGGCTAGAAACTCCCACTTTTCCTTATATTCAGAGTTGAGCCCAATGTCTCTCTCCTACTGCAAGATCCCCCTGGAGTGGTCCCTAACCCCTATCACGATGGTCCTGAATAAGGTCTGCCTTACCGTTTTTTAACAAGTGTCACGAATGAATGATATTTTCTTTGACACCCTCCAGTCCTCCTTCACACAGCAAATGCCTCCACAAAATTGTAAGTCAAAACCTATGGGGATCACTGGTGCATGTTTGACCTGCAAATTCCAAGGGGCTGCTGTGTCCTCCCCCCTTTCCTAAAATGTACCATCCGGAGGCATTCTTTTACTCCAAACAAATTTGTGCTTCTTGACTTCTTTTTCTGAACCAGTTATAAGATCTGCCTCGTTCCCTCTTTAATGAATAAAATAGAATCTTTAACACACGTTCGTTTTTCTATCTGTATTAGTCATGATTTTGCCTTTTGCTGAAAAGTATCTTTTAACTGTATAATTGAACGTTCCCCTTTTCTCACTGGAGGGCAGAAGGGGAGAAATGGGTGGTCAAGTATGGTTGAGCTAGTGTGGTTTCCTGCTTTTACCCCCCAGGATTTAAATAACTCAGAAGTCACACTTCCCAAAGCAATGAAGATCTCCAAAAGAAACAGGGAAGCAGATTTCGATAAGTGAAGGGGATTGGTGTTGATGGGAATGCAACAAGCAAAGAAGTCTAGGAATAAAATGCTGGTGACCTCAGAGATTTAGAAACGGAAACACCTGAAAGGGCATCGAAAACAACTACAGGACCTCTAAGGTGGCTGCAGGGGAAGGCTGGGGGTTTCCTTTACTGGGTAAACACTGTAACTTGCATGGCAATTGATCTTCCATCTTGCAGCAGGGAAGGCAGGGCCCTCCTTATCCTTAGATGGTTCTGTGAACATCAACTCCTCCAATTATTTTTATTTTTCAGTAATCATGGTTGTGTTTTCCAAAGGGTACACGGTCTTGACAGCATTAATTAGAAAACTAGATGGGATGAAGCTAGATTGGCCTGTGAACTGCCAATCATGTGGCTGCCTCTGGCCTTTTCTTGGACTGTTGTGAGGCCTGGATGGCATTCCCCCAGATACCCACAGGGCTCACTTCTGACCACCTTACTTTAAATGGGCTTTGAAAACAACAGGTGGCATGTCCATCAGCAAGTAGCCCTAAATCGCAGTGCCCAGCGTCAGCAAGGCCTGGGACAGGCCACCGCTTCACCTCCTGACCCACATGGCCGAGTGGGAACGGTACAGTCTCTCCTGGCAACACGGACCCAACATACAGGACGCTACACGCCTAGACCAAACCCTCCTCTCTTTTTTTTTTTTTTTTTTTTTTTTTTTGCGGGACGCGGGCCTCTCACTGTTGTGGCCTCTCCCGTTGCGGAGCACAGGCTCCAGACGCGCAGGCTCAGTGGCCATGGCTCACGGGCCCAGCCGCTCCGCGGCATGTGGGATCTTCCCGGACCGGGGCACGAACCCGCGTCCCCTGTATCGGCAGGCGGACTCTCAACCACTGCGCCACCAGGGAAGCCCAAGACCCTCCTCTCTTAACACCCATCCTTAACAAAGGCTGCAAAATGTGGAGAATGAGCTGGACGCGGATACGCTCATTTTCCCCCCATACTTTTATGTCAGTAGTAAGAACTATACGACCAAAATGTTCAACTGTAGGAAAACGGTTACAAAGAGTATTTACTGGCACGGAGGAAAGGATCAAGACATAGTGCTAAATGGAAAAAAAGGAATACAAGTTTATATACAGTATGATTTCAACTGTCTATTCAAAATGTACGGCTAAACAATACAGGAAAATATGCCAAAGTAGGATGGCGGTGTTGCTTTTCTGCAGTGACAAGGTACTGCTTTGATAAAAGCTGGTGTTGAAAATGGACTTTAATAGGTTCATTACCTGTGCACATGGCAAAGACCTCCTTTGCCTCAAGCAAACGCATGCGCAAGTTAGAGCAGAGCGGACCTGCAGCGCGATCCTGGGCTAGCGAAGCGCACGTACCTCGTCCAACTGCCTGAAGGACGCTGTCCTTACGCGCGGAGGACGCTGGACGGAAGCGGGCAACGCCGCAGCTCCACGGGACACAAGGGAGACGGTCAGGGGCAAGCCGAGGGGGAGGTGCCTCCTTCAGGGACGGAAGTGGACGCGGTGACGGAGGGCGGTGGGATCCCGGTGGACCAGTGGCTGTCCTGGATTCCCGGCCTCCGGGGAAGGCTGGAGCCGGAGGGAGGGGCAGGGAGGGGAGGTTGGGAGGAAGGGTGAAGGAAGGGAGGAGGGAGACGGAGGGAGGGGAGGGAGAGAGGGAGGGGGGAGGAGAGGGGAAGGTAGACGACGAGGGGGGGAGGGAGACCGGGAGGAGGAAGACAGTCAGCCTATGAAATTTACATGTGCGCCTGTCTCCTGAGACCTGTGACTTCTTTACTGTAAATCAAAATTAGTCTATTTTAAACAGTAGATGACTACATATTCATACTTGACCTCCCTCCCTCCGCCGCCACTCCATATTTTGTCTGGTCACCTAACATTGTGATAACCAATTCAATTGGCTACAGAGAAGGGTTAAGAAAGAAAACCGGAAGAAATGTTGATTAGGAAAATAAGTGACAGAGGGAAAAGTAGCAGCAGCTTCTTGACGCCACAAGAATTTCACCAAAAATCTCATGACCCGTGAGATAGAGCCTTACTAGTTAAAACGCTTCCAGTTGGAAAAGGTGTGAATTCTGATTGAGGGTGACTTTTTCTTAAGGGATCTTTTCTGCAGAGGGACGGCAAATCAGTAATATAAAAAGCCTCGAGGGGTAAGGTTTGTGAGACTTAATCTGATTGTTAAAGGGCAGTTTTCAGAAAAAGGTAAGATCATGATGCTCACACAGATATAAAAATGACCTGTGTTGAAAACTTTACAGTACTCATGAATTAATAAGAAAACGAGGCAGATGTTAAAACTAGTTCAGAAGAAAGTTTTTAAAAAGTGCACACATATGGAGTAAAGGAATGGTGAAAGGGAAATGCAGACAGAGGCAAACTGGCTTTTTTTCCACAGCATGGGGAACGAGGTGAATTTGCTTGTCTGTCATCTACCTACAACTTACAGAATTGTGAAACAGCTACCAGACATTGGAAGACAAGAATCAGATAGCCTGGATGGTGACCTCTAGGCAAGCATAGGTTTCCATCGAAACACAAAATTGTTTCTATTAGACTGTTTCCAAGCATCTTCCAGCATCTTGGAAGTACCAGTTACATGGAAAGACTAGATGTGACTGATCACACATCATTTTTCTCTATTTGCTAAATTTAGCTCTCCAAGCATCATTCCTGACATTAATTAACACTTATTAACATGAGGGAGTTCAAATTCGCAACCCTATGCCTTGCCAAAATTTGCCAACTCAGCGTTAAACTTATGCACATACTTAAAAGTAATTTTTACAAAAGTTGCCTCCAAATCAGTCTCAGTTGGCAAAGTTGTGCAGTGGATTCCAATATTACGAGACAGCGCTGTATTAAAAGTACACCTCTTTTACAACATTCAAAAACAATTTATATCTACTGTTTTCCCACCTATTTTCCTAAAACTATCTCCCAGACCCCTCTCACAGTCTCCTCTTTGTCTTAACGTGCACCTTCCCCCTGAACCTGGCTGGAATCTCTGTTGTCCTGCCTCTTCCTCCCTGTGGTCTCCCTACTTTGGGGAGAGGGCCGCCCTCTCTCTTTCCATTTATGCAAATCCTTTCCAGCTTTCAGAATTCTTCTTCATGAAGCTTGCTTAAGTGCTACAGCTCTTGATTTTCCTTAACCTGCACTCCTAAAAAAAAAATGATTCCTTTGGCATTTTGTACTACAAACTGGGCCACTGGATCATGTAACATCTTCTAGTTGATGAAAACCTTGCTTTCACAAGTGTAGTAACCTGAGGTTTCTCAAGGCAGGCTGTGAATGTTCTCTGCTCGAAACACCTGAGTGCAAGGAGAGGATGCCTCCTATGTCCATCTCCTTGCACTAAACCAAAGACGTGTCCCTTCTCCTTAGACTTGTTTTCCTTAACTATGAAATGAGGGATTAGACTAGATTTGGTTCTCAAACTTTAGCACGCATCAGAATCCCCTGGAGGGTTTATTAAACCACAGAGTGCTGGGCCACAAACAGAGCCTCTGATTCAGGAGGTCCAGGGGGAACCTCAGGAATTTGTGGGTCCAACAAGATTCTGGGTGATGATGCTGGTGTCCCTGGTCCAAGGACCATACTTTGAGAATCACAGTGACTAGCAAACCCACTTGGCTGACCATCAAAACCATCTAGGGAACTTGTAAATGTCAGATGTCCTGGGCTCAGACCTACTGAACCAGAATCTTACAGGGTGGCACTGGGGAAACCTTATTTCAAAATAATCCCCAGGGGCTTCCCTGGTGGCGCAGTGGTTGAAAGTCCACCTGCCGATTTAAGGGACACGGGTTCGTGCCCCGGTCCAGGAAGATCCCACATGCCGCGGAGCAGCTGGGCCCGTGAGCCATGGCGGCTGAGCCTGCGCGTCCGGAGCCTGTGCTCTGCAATGGGAGAGGCCACAGCAGTGCGTACCGCAAAAAAAAAAACTCCCCAGATGACTCTTACGATGGACCAACTTTAGGACCCAATTGAACTAGATAATCTGTATAGGCCATGTCAGTGTCAACCTTCCATGATTTTATGTTATAGGTCCAGCAAGGAAAGCCTGGCTGGAGGAAGGCAGGTGCAACTCTCAGGATAAAATAAATCTTATAGGTCCATCAAACTAGAAACATACAAGAAAAGGGAATCCTGGGAAACATAGATCAGTTTAGCCCAGTGGGCACATCGACAAACCATCGCACCGTGGCTGGGTACCCTTCCAGTCCTCCCCAAGGCAAAGGTGTTATCCTGCTAGAGATACACTGGTTTAGCATTAAACAGAACCTTTCACGTGCCAGTTTGAAACATCTGCAACTGAATTACTTCACTGCCTTGGGATTTCTCCAAAATAATATGTAGGTAATTTTTAAATATCTGAATAAGTCAAAGAAGTCACCGAAGTGTTACCACCCAGAACCAACGGAGGGTGGGCCCTAAACATAAATTCTTGCTTCTATCTTAAAACGTACAAACTGCTTGCAACACCCCAAATGGCATTTTTTTCACCTTCACCAGTTTTAGTTCCAAACTCCTCTGGAAAATTCATCACAAGTTAATATTTAACTCTAAAAAAAAATTTTTTTAAAGCTCTATTCTTAAAGAAACTCTTAGCATAAGTGAACACTGGGGTTTCACAGAGTTCCTTAATAAAGAGCTGTGACTCAGCAGTCACAGCTGGTTGTCCCTCCAAAGTTATTTTATTTATTATTATGAAATAAGGAACTAAATTCCAGGAACTGAGTGAACCCAAGCTGAATTAACAAACCGGGCAAAGTTAAACAAGACCGCAGACTCTGCTAAAGCCCCGCATGAACACTGACCTTGAAGGCAAGGTCAGGAAAAGTATTCCATGGAACTGCTCCTCTAAAGAAATTTTGGAACAAAATCAGAAGTGCTGGTGTGTTTGAGAACATCTCCCAGGAATACCTGGGGGAGAGTGTATTGCAGTTCATCTGTTCCCATTTCTGGGGCGGTGTTGCTGACTCAGCCCCACCCCTTGAATGCAGCTGCAGGTAGCCAGCTGGGAAAGCACTGAGTCCTGCGCGCAGGGCAGGCATTGCTGCTGAAGGCAGGTCGGAAGGCTGGGTAGAAAAGAAAGCTGGTTTCTAGATGATTCTTGAGCCATTAAGCCATCTTGTCACCCCTAGACAGAAAGCCTAAGTTAGCTTTTTTTCCACTTTTTACTATGAAACTGTACAAATATGCAGAAAAGTAGAAAGAAAAGCTCAGTAAAGTCCCACATTCCCCTGATTTAGATATAATTATTGTGAATATTTTTGCCGTTTACTTCATTTCTTTTTTTTTTTTTTTTTTTTGCTGAAGTATATAGGTTATAGACAACATGACATTTCGCCTCTGGGATTTCACACCCTCCTACAGTCTCCTCCCACATTGTACAGGGTTGGTCCAGTAGAATACAGAAGTAGTGATGGCCTGTCTCGTCTGGAATTAAGTTACAAAAGACACGTGGCTGCATCTTGCCTTCTCTCTCTCCCTCTCCCTCTCATCACTTGCTCTGGGGGAAGTCGCTAGTAACCCCATGGAGAGGCCCATGTGGCAAAGAAAGCCTCATGGACACAGATCCCCAAGCCCCAGTCAAGTGTCAGATGACTGCAAACCCCACTACATCTAGATGGGAGCCTCCTGAGAGACCCTGCGTCAGAACCACTGGCTAAGCCAGTCCCAGATTCCTGACCCTCAGAAACTGTGCAAGATAATAATTTCTACCGCTTTAACCTGCTAAATTTGGGGCTAAATTGGTAGTACAGATAGAACACATTTGGATACATTTGCAGGCGGGGTACTGTGACAGAAACCCAAGATGTGGGAGTGGCTGTGGCACCAGGCGGTGGGCTTTGTTGAGAGCATTGGTAAATGCCTGGAGCACCTTGAAGAAGCTGTGAATAAAAGAGTCCAGGTCGTTACAGATCCAGGTCAGAGCTTGCAGGAAAGTGAAGGAAACTGGAGGAAGGGATCCTGGTGATGCTGTTGCCTGCAGTCATGTGGACAGAGGAAAATGCACCCAATGAACTCGTGATCTAGTCAAGGAGATTTGGAGCCAAAGCGTTTTCAGTGCTGCCTGCTTTCTGCTAGTTGCTTATAGTAAGATGCCAGAGAAGAGAGAGAAATGAACGGAAGGGTTGTTAAGCAGAAAGGAGCTGGGACTGGAAGGTTTTCAGCTGGGCCAGATGACAAATTATGCTAGAATCAAGGAATGGCTTCCAAGCAAAAGTCCAAATTCAGGGCCCTGCCAGAAAACCTGTGGTCCAGAGATAGACCCTAGGCTGTGCCTGTAAATAATTTTTAAAAGATTTCAGAAAGATATAAAGCCATACCCCATAGTCCTTTTGTCAGACAAAAGGCCCTCTAAGGAGAGTAAAGGTGTGCCTCACTGCTGTGGCCCGAATGCTTGTGAGATTAAAGGTGTACCTCACATGTGAGGTCACAAGAAGTCGGCAGCCTGGAGGAGGGCCCTCACCAGAACCCAGCCATGCTGGCACCCTGGTCTCAGAATTCCAGCCTCCAGAACTGTGAGAAATAGATTTCTGTTGTTTATAAATTACCCAGCCTGTGGTGTTTTGTTACAGCAGTCCCAGTGGACCAAGACACTCACAGACCCTCTCAATCAGAGGATAATCCTCCTCAGGACTTCCCTGGCGGTCCAGTGGTTAGTACTCCACGCTTCCACTGCAGGGGGCATGGGTTCGATCCCTGGTCAGGGAACTAAGATCCTGCATGCCAGCGGTGTGGCCAAAAAAAAAAAACAGTGCTCTTAGAAGCTTCGGATCATTGCCCCTCTGCTGTCTGCAGAAGCCCTATCTATGTGGAGAAGGGCTCATCTCAAAGAGATTTAGGGGTGTTGACTTTGCCTAATGGAGTAGATCCCGTGGAGATTCGCAGGAAATCCATAAAGTTTTTATGAGAATTATATGTACAGAATCATTACCAACTTGGACTGAAAGGGACAGAGCCAGTACAAAATAAAAAGAGGTCTTTGGACCCTCAAAGTTCTACTGGCAGGAAGCAGGCTGAGAATATTACTCAGCTGCTAACACATGATACGTTTCCTGTTACAGCATGATACCTTTCCTTTCATGAAAAAGGAAGGATGACTCACAGGGAAAAACCAAGAGCCCAGAGGGCAGTCCAAAGCCTTGGAGTATGGTTCCCAAGACTTGAGACATAATTAAGGAACTTAGGACGTTTGCTTGGCTTGGAATCTATATGGACCAGCAACTTCTTCACGCTCTCATCTTCTCCCTTTTTCAGCAAGAGTTTCTAGAGTGGTTATTCTGTCTGTCCCCTTGTATGTTCAGTAGGAGAGGGTTTATGAACTGAATATTCATGTCCCCTTAAAGTTCATGTTGAAGCCCTAACCCCCAATGTGATGGTATTTGGAGGTGGAGATTTTGGAGGTAGTTAGGTTTAGATGAGGCCATGGGGGTGGGGTCCTCATGATGGGATTAGTACCCTTGTAAAGAGACCAGAGAGCTAGTTCTGTCTCTCTCTCTTCCATGTGAGGATACAATAAGAAGTCAGCCAAAAAGAAAAAGAAGTCAGCCAGCTCCAAGCCAGGAAGACAGTCCTCACCAGAACTCAACCATGCAGGTACCCTCATCTTGGACTTCCAGCCTCCAGAAATGGGAGAAATAAATGTCTGTTGATTAAGCCCCCCAGTCTGTGGTATTTTGTTACAGCAGCCTGAGCTGACTCATACAGAGGGGGTGGGGTGGAGCAGATAGCTTGTCAAGAAGAACTGTACTGGAGAAACTGGATTTAAGGAACTATAATAAATTTATAGACCTGATTTACATTATGAGATTCTGGACATTGAGCAGATGCTACAATAGGATGAGATTTCTGGGGACTCTGGAAGGGGTTGACTGTATTCTGCATGTGGGAAGGATATGAACTTTTGGTGGACCATGGTGGTCTGCAAATTGGCCCACAGTGAACCCCGCTTCCTGGTACTCATACTCTGTGCAGCCCTTTCCCCCACAATGGACCATTGTTAATCTGTCTGACCAATAGCATACGGCAGAAGTGATGGTATGTCATTTCTGATACTTATTTATTTTTATAAGTGTGGCTTAACTCTCTCACTCACTGTCAGATCACTTGCTCTGGGAGGAGCCAGCCGCCCTCTGGAGAGGCCCACTTGCTGAGGAGCTGAGACTGCTGGCCAAAGTCAGCAAGGAACTCTCTTCCAACAGAGAGAAAACAAGATGCCTGGACCATCTTGGACGCAGAGCCTCTGGCCCCAGTCAAGTTTCAGATGACCGCGGTCTGGCCAGCAACTGGATGGTAACTTCCTGAGAGACCCTGAGCCAGATCCACCCAGCAAAGCCACTCCCAGATTCCTGACTCTCGGAAACTGTATGAAATACTAAATTTTTTAAAGTCGCTATGTGTATTAACCATGTGTTTCTGATGTTTTTATCTCTGGGGCCTGGAAAGACTGTCCCTCCCAGGGCTAGCCAATTCCCAGGGATAGAACATGCCTTTCACAGGCACACATGAAAAGATGCTCAACATTGCTAATCATCAGGGGAATGCAAATCAAAACCACAATGAGATATCACCTGACACCTGTCAGAACAGCTATCATCAAAAAGACCACAAATAACAAATATCAGCAAAGATGGGGAGAAAAGGGAACCCTTGTGCACTGTTGATGGGAATGTAAATTGGTGCAGCCACTGTGGAAAACAGCATGGAGTTTCTGAAACAGCTAAAAATAGAGTTACCATATGACCCATATGACCCAGCAATTCCACTCCTGGATATACATCCAAAAAAAGCAAAAACACTAATTCAAAAAGATACATGCACTCCAGTGTTCATAGCAGCATTATTTACAATTGCCAAGATATGGAAGCAACCTAAGTATCCATCAACAGATAAATGGATAAAGAAGATGTGGTATACATACAATGGAATACTACTCAGCCATAAAATTTTGCCATTTGCAGCAACATGGATGGATTTGGAGGGCATTGTGCTAAATCAAATAAGTCAGACAGAGGAAGACAAATACTATATGATATTATTTATACATGGAATCTAAAAAATACAACAAAGGAGTGAATATAACAAAAGGAAGCAGACTCACAGATATAGAGAACAAACTAGTGGTTACCAGTAGGGAGGGGAGGAGGGGCAATATAGGAATGGAGGAGTGGGAGATGCAAACTATTGGGTGTAAAACAGGCTACAAGGATGTATTGTGCAACATAGGGAATATAGTCAGTATTTTGTAATAACTGTAAATGGAGTTTAACCTTTAAAAATTGTATAAAACATTAAAAATTTAAAAAGAGAACATAGCTTTTCATAAGCAAACCAGTTAATCCAGAGCCCACACCCCAACCACCTCCTCCATCAGGCTCTCACACTCTGGGCCACTATCTACCTGCACCAGTGACCGCATAGCCAGGGACCAGACAACTAGAGATAGCCCCCATGCCCCAGAGTCCACTGAAATTTTTCAGACTAGACAATCCTAAGCCCGCTTTCCCTGCCTTGCCTGTCCCTTCCCATAGAAACCACAACAAAGTCTCATGTCCACATGTTCCCCTCAGTCCCTCTGCCTCTAGACTGACCCAGGTGCTTCCCCATGTAGCTCACCTGTGTTGTGGCATAGTTTGCTCCCTTCTCTTGGGATGTAGGAGTATAGAAAACTATATTTTCAATGGCACTCATATTCTGATCTATTGGCCTTGCCATACGTAAATAATAATAAAACCTACATTTTAAAATAGCATAATTTGGGGTAATTTGTTACACAGCACTAGATAACTCATACACTTAAATATATATAGAGAGAGATATAATCTTTTCCTTCATACCACAATGCCATCTTTACACCTAAGAAAATTATCACTTACTCCTTAATATCATCTAATGCTTAGACCATCTTGTAAATGTCCTCCATCTCCCTAAAAATGTCTTTGCAACCGGTTTGTTAGAGAACAGGATCTAAACAAGGTCCCCCTATTGCATTTGGTGTTCTGTTTTTCAAGTCTCTTTTCAACATAGAATTTTTTAAAAGGCAAAACCCGAGTCTCCTATAAACATAAAGGAACTAGGTATGAAATATTTAATTAACTCAGTAATAAGGGAAGCAGCAAGATGATTAAGTTGGTTAAAAGAAACTTTGAGAAACTGAGGCATCAGAAAATGATTGCTAAGTTAGATTTTTTTGTAAAACTGGTTAACAACCCCCAAGAAAATAAAAATTAAAATCAAAATCTTTTTGATGATCTTTGCTATCAAATAGAAATCATTTGCATCTCTACCAGACAAAATTAATCCCAGTTGCTATCAGATAAGAATCCTCTGCATCAATCTGTTTTATACATGTTATCATCTTTATTCACAGAACTGTGAAATACCTTCATTAATCTTAAATAGCCTGAAATGAAGGTGCACGCCCCTAGCATGTTAGGCAATGCCCCAGCGTGACATTGAAAAAACAGGACACTAAATCATCACTTTTCTATTTCCAAGTTTTGAGATTATCTTTTTTCTTAACATTCTTTTATCTAGAATAGTCTCCCCATTGGGTTGTTATCCTGTAGAACAGGGGTCCCCAACCCCTGGGCCGCAGACCGGCACTGGTCCATGGCCTGTTAGGAACCAGGCCACATAGCAGGAGGCGAGTGGCGGTGAGCCAGTGAAACTTCGTCTGCTGCTCCCCATCGCTCCCCATTGCTCACATTACAGCCTGAACCCTCCCCCCATCGCTTGTATTACTGCCTGAACTATCCCCCATCTCCCCGATCCGTGGAAAAATTGTCTTCCATGAAACCGGTCCCTGGTGCCAAAAAAGTTGGGGACTGCTGCTGTAGAAGTTCCCACATTCTGACTTTATCTACTTGCTTCTAATGTACTTCAATAAAATGTGATTTTTAGATCAATATCTAGTTGCTAAAAATAATACCACATGTTATTAAATGGATGAAATGTTTTGGTGTCAATAAGAGTTATTAAATCATTATGGGATGTTGAAATAATGTTTTATTAACTTATTCTACTATTAACCTCAAATTCTATATGTAGGATTCCCTTTGAGTATTCTAAAGTAGGGGATGTAGTCTTCTTTTGAAGATGTTACCCAAAAACTCGGTTCGCCTCTTGGAGAATGCCAAGCCACAAAAGACAACCAAGCCAAAGAACAGAGAAACATAGGATTTATTACTTGCATCAAGTAAGGAAAACACCAGGGATATTTCCCAATGCAGTGTCTCCCCAAGAGCAAAATTGGGGAAGTTTTAAGCCAAGGGTATATGCATATTCACAAGGGGGCTTGGGCAGAGGAGAATTCAGTCTAGAATTGGGGAAAAGATTGACAGAGTCCAGGTTCTAGTTGACTGAAGTCTCAAGGGTCAGCAGAGGTCAGCATCATCATTCCCTAGATTCCAGTTAGTCTGGTGGTTGAGTGCTCAAGGAGGTTTGGATCCTGCAAGATGGCACAAGAGTAAGCTTCAGGCTAATCCTAACCTTCAAACAGAACTGGGAGTCCTTATAACTGATTTATTGTCTCTGATATGATTAAGTTATTTCCCTGGCCTGGTCAAAGGCAGGCATTGTAGACAGGCTTAGATCACAAAATGGCTTAGGCCAAAATGGGCTCTTCAACCTTTTTGGCACCAGGGACTGGTTTCGTGGAAGACAATTTTTCCACGGACTGGGGATGGGGGGGATGGTTTCGGGATGATTCAAGCGCATTACATTCATTGTGCACTTTATTTCTATTATTATTACATTGTAATATATAGTGAAATAATTAGACAACTCACCATAATGCAGAATCAGTGGGACCCCTGAGGTTGTTTTCACTTGCCACTCACTGATAGGGTTTTGATATGAGTCTGCAAGCAATTTATATATTATGGTCTCTGTGCAGTCAAACCACTCTGCTAATGAGAATCTGTATTTGCAGCCACTCCCCAGCGCTAGCATCACCGCCTCAGCTCCACCTCAAAGATCATCAGGCATTAGATTCTCATAAGAAGTGCACAGCCTAGATCCCTCACATGCACAGTTCACAGTAGCATTCATGCTCCTTTGAGAATCTAATGCCACCACTGATCTGACAGGAGGCGGAGCTCAGGCGGTAATGCGAGCAATGGGGAGCGGCTGTAAATACAGATGAAGCTTTGCTCACTCACCCGCCGCTCACCTCCTGCTGTACAGACTGGTACCCGTCCGTAGCGCAGGGGTTGGGGACCCCTGTGTTAGACAGTATGTCTGGTTCTCTTCTTCCGGGACACCCATTCTATCTGCCTACAGAGGCATAAACCTGAGACCTTCGTTTGTTGACCTCAAACACAATTCTCCCCTCCTTTTCTTCCAGAGTCTCTCAGTGTCTAACAGAGGCTTCTTGGTGGTTTTCTTTGAAATCCTGGGCTGGAAGTTTGAGGGGGCTCTCCTTCCCCACCTCCTTACCTCCTCCACTCTTCCTTCTCAGACTTTCACGGAAGGCCCTGGAACTTCTGCTTTTTGTAAAGTACACCGGCTTTTCTCCTTGACATCAATTTCTGCTTGGCTCTGCTTCTCCAGAGTGCCTTTAATGTCTTCAAAGTGGTTTTGTTGCCTGGTTTTGCAGACGGAGCCCCACATATACACCAGGGATTTCTTCCTGTGTCTCTTACAGGAAGAGAGTTCCTTGAAGCTAATGTGGTACCCACTTGCCAGGAATATCAGACAAAAGAAGAGCATTTATTAAAAGCAGAGGGTCTCCTTTTCCTTCTGGAAAACTAAGGATGACAAACTAATTCCTCAGTCTTGAATTTGAGAAACTCACCCCTAATTTGACACCAAACTATCCTAATATATTTACCTATGTCTATTTTGAAAAATTTTGAAAGTATGAAAAGGTCAAAAATCAGTACAATGAATAATTTGTACTCTCTACTGAGATTCAAGTGTTAATACTTTGTCTCATTTGTTTTATCTCTTTTTTTTCTGATCTGTTTAAAAACAGGTTGCAGACTTCAAGACATTTCATTGCTAAATACTTCTGTGTGCTTCTCTAAGAATAAAAATCTTCTTCCACATCACCACAATGCCACTGTCATATCTATGAAAATTATCAATAATTCCTTAATTCATCTAATATTTGTTTCATATTCAAGTTTTCCAGTTGTTCTCAAAATGACTTTTGTGTCTTTTTTCTTTTTCTTTTTGCAATCTATAAATGTTTGTTAGATCAAACTGGTCAATAATGCTATTGAAATCTTCTACACATTTACTAATTTTTGTTTACTTTTTTTTTCAGCAGATAAGCATCTTGAGAGAGGGATGTTTGTCTCAGTCTCACTGTGGATTTGTTTATTTCTCTTTTCAATACTGTCAATGTTTACTTCGTGTATTTGAAGCTCTTTTTATTAGATGCACACACATTTAGGATTTTTATGTTTTTCTATTGACAATCTTTTGATCATAATAAAATAGTTCTCTTTATCTCAGACAAAACTCTTTGTCTTGAAGTCTACTTGAGTAATATTAATATAGTAATACCAGTTTTTTAAGCTTATGTGAGCAAGGTGCATATATTCCTTCCCATTACT